TTAGCATTTTATTGACGTTTCAGAAGAAAACATCTCATAGTATTGTTCCGTGGTAAAGTTCGAATGGTCGAAAATGTCATTTCAATCAGCTAGAATCCATTATTAAATGCATGTTATGTATCAGGGTGAATTCAGATTCTTTTCCTTATTTTAAAAATCACTCTCTGGTGGTTTCGCGAAAAAGCTTTGTACGCTTCGGTCTTTGCTGGTTCGATGGGTTTAGCTATACACTCAGATATGTTTACCAATATTTATATTCTGATTCGTAAACTACTGAATTTTGACCAACTTTAGAGTGACATGTTGGATAAAAAGAAATTTTTGATACAATGGTTTATTCTATATCAATTCTGTATAAAGAGATAATATTTAAATTACATAACATCAGCATTGAGAAAATCTAATCGGTGATCCATTAGCTATGACACGTGAAATTGAAAAGAACGTTCATTTATCCTTTGAGAATGTATCCCTCTAACTTCGTGTCAGCCTTGAGTATTCGGCCCAACCTTAAATAGACATAAAATTAAGCGAACTTTGTTGGAAACAATGAACAATTAATTATCGGCTCCGTAAAGCTATCGTGGTTGAGCCTTCCAAATAAACGAACTAGATAAAAAAAAAGTTTCATTATGTGTTTCCTACACATAAAGAGCTTGTGAAAGAATTCTATGCACAACCCTCTCCATCATAAAGCGAAACATAATAAATGGATTTTCCCATTTTTGAAAAAAAAAAACTTTTAAAATAAACATATTAAAAAAATACAATATTAAAGTAATGTTCTTTTTTTGTTTTCCTGGTTCAACAAACTTTATTGAAATTTTGTTATCAATTTTAATTTTATCAAAATATGGCATAGTATTGTTTCAATTGTTTTGTTGATTTTCTTCAAACCAGGACCCGGAAGCGAGATTATATCAAAATTTGTTATTAATAATAGAAGTTGATAGATTGCTGTTATAATTAAGATATTCCTTTCTGGTCGGGTTCCATTCATAAACTGTAAGTTTCTGATGGAAAAAAAAATGTGAGGGGAATTCTATTCTTCAACGTAACTAAAAGCAAAACTTAAGCAGACCAAGCTCATGAGTGAGGATCTCAATGAGGAACAATTTTACCTGGTGTCTCACTTTCCGGCAGGTGCTTCCAAAATTTTAATATTTTGTAATCGTAAAATTGAACATATTTGTAGTTCTTTGGCGAACGTTTTAGCACAATTGATTATAAGTTAACAAAGTTACATCATGTTTCATGCTCTCGGTCGGCAAGGCTACACACAAAATCACGGCCTCCCTGTTCGGTAATTTTTTACTGGGTTTTTGAACAGCTGAAAAAGTCAGTAAACTTAAAAAAATTGTAAAAAATTGTATAAAAGTGATTTTTTCTTGAAATTTATACAGACTGTGTTCTTATTACATTTATTTGATGATAAAAATAAAATATGTTAAAATTGTTCGTTGCATTACGTGTGACCGTTATTTTCAGTTTACTGACTTTTTCAGCTGTTTGAAAACCCAGTAAAAAATTACTGACCCCAGTGAAATAATCTCTGTGTGTATACTTGGCAAGGTGCGAAAAATACATTTTAGCACTCGATACTGAAAAGTGTCAGTTTTCGACACTGTTTTGAATAACATAATGGCCTACTTGTCATAACTAAAATAATAGTGTCGAAAAGAAATACTTTTAGCACCCTCTGCCGAAAAGTTCTACAGCCTGTTTCGAATATTCCTCCAACACTTCAATTTTACAAAGTCCTTGAATTATTGATATTATCTAATACATTAATCACTAAGGTCTCATGATCGATAATTTTCAAATCACTGTCCGTAACTGAACAAATAAAATCAAAATTGAAGTAAACATGGTCAATGGGAATTCTACTGTACTGCAAATACGCGTATACTCATCTACCGTTTGTTTAAAATTGAAAAAAAACTCAGCTTAACGCTTCAGATGATTTGAATTATAATTTTAATTAAAATGTATAAATTAAAGCCAATTAATATTAAAATCATCAGCCAGTATACATAATTAACTAGAATCAAGAAATGTCTCGAGCCAGTCTAGTCTAGTCTAGTCTAGTCTAGTCTACACATACACAGCCAGTACTTGAAAGAATCCTGGAAAATGATACATCTATCATTTTTCTTGTCATTATTAATGCCTGCTGCACATCAAGGATGTGAAACAAACAATAAAGCGGCCAGGCCTACTGTGTAGCGTTTAGTTAATTTTTGTGGAAGTGAATGTTTACCATGTCTACTTAATAAGTATAGACAGTGGTTAACATTTAATCCACAGGTAATCAAAGAGCGGGGACATACCGTACCAACCGCTCCGTATGCAGGATTTGAAAATAGGCTATATAAATCGTTGGGAGTGACAGAGCTAAGAAAGTTAATGTACACTCCTTGGTTGTCCGATCTCCTGGGATGGAACACAGGTATTTACCCCTTGTGTTCGAGCGTACAGTCCTCCCTCCGTACAAGCGTGGACGGCACCGCCAACCCACTGCCATCCCTCAATCGATCCAGCCGACCTCAGTCGAAGGACAACAGAGAGCGGTGTGCGGACGTAACCTATACGGAGGGAATGCTGTATTCGCCTAGGTTATAGCGCCCTTGCTCGCTACCATTTTCTTCTAGCGGTTGGGACCTGAGCACTAACTCTTGTCCTAGCCCTATATGGCATATGGTTATAGCGCCATTACTCGCTTTCTGAAAAGAGAAGAAGGGAAGGGAAGGAGAGGAAAAGGACTTGGGAAAAGGAAATGCGGAATTCCTTTCCTCATTAGTATTTGTATCGTCAACTTTTATGAAAACTATATAAATCATTTTTCGACATTTGAATAAGATTGTCTTATCATTTGTTATTCAAAATTTAATGTTATAATGATCAACATAGCTTTGGATTATCCAATATAAATCGGTAACACTGTCCTGCAACCGATGATTTTTCTAATCCGAAAACTAAAAGTTACGAAAAAGCACTTAGGCCTTCATTAAGTTCCACTTTCACGCGACGTTCAATGTTTCGCGGTTTGCTCTTTACGCATTGTTCAGGCTATCATAACAAGCTATGACCGACGTGACGATTGCTTAAGCCCTGGTTAAACAAGTAAACAAGCTATTAAAATGAAATCATGTTCCCGAAAGCAGTCAACAATGTATCTTAAACCGGATCAAGCGTGCGCCCTATTTTTCTAAACATTCCGACGCGTTCCGCCCAATATCTATCAATTACGTTTTTCCAGAATAGTAGCCTGGGATAAATCCTAATTCGACCGACACGTGTTTGTTGAAAAATTATATTCTGCCTAATATCAGTAGTCAGTAGTCATTAGGAAACCTGTTACTATATTACCACATATGTATCCTTCTTTCATGAATTTGTTTTACGAACATGATCTAACACAACCTTTTTCTATGACAAAACTATATTCTGATAAAATTGGATCATTGCCTAGACCAACTATTGAAACTAAAGAACAAAACAATTGGCCACGTGTCTGGAATAATATTAACTTAAAGAACCTGAACTCAAATGAAAAATCTATTCCTAATTTACTTTATAATAGGAAAATTGATCACAGAGCTCATTTGTATCGCATAGGTATTGCTGACAACCCTAATTGCTTATCATGCGGATTCCTCGAAGATCTTGAGCATATATTTTGTAAACGTTTTTCGGTCAATCAGTCATGGAACTATTTTATTAGACATTTACTAAACAGATTTGATCCTCGTTTAATACGCTTCTTAACCTTTTCCAGTTTGATAGCTCCAACCTTAGAAGAGTTTAGCAGGGATGACAAAATTATGATTCTAAGAAAATTTGTTCAGTTTAGTCAATATATTTTAAGTTGATCTCATTGGCCGTGCGGGATAGTCCTGAGAATCCAAGAAATCATGGAAAAGCTCGCTCCTTAATTCTGGCGGAATATTTCCCCGTTTGAATTGGTCAATGACATTTCAAACGGCTGCCATGCCACGTGTGTTTGTTTACAATCTAACTCCCACTGTCTGGCAGTGGCATTATGTATGAAATAAGTTCTTATGAACGCAAGAAGCTTGGACCCGGGAGTTAGACCGTAGCTCAAATAGCCTCTAGATAAAAGATTGACGGGTATTTAGTAATTTAAATGATCGTCTCAATTTAGAGGGATAAGTCCTGTCCAATCTTCCTAATCTTGTATTTTTAAATGGCTGCATCTTTGAATATTTCTGATTCCTCCTGGGCTAAAACTCATAATGATGAACAAAATTCCACTAGAGTTATATCATTGCTGAGATCCAGAGACCACGTCCGGGCCGCAGGCCGCACGCTGGGAAGTGCTGTTATAGAGGAAAGAGGAACTAAAAGGCAAATAAACTTAGCTGAACGTTGCTGCGCTTTATTCGGAACGGAGGGCACCTCATGCAATGGAAAGGGAAGGATTTGATGATTTTCACTTAATGCACTTTTCAACACAACTTCTGTACATTCAATTAACACTTTTCCACATTTTCACAAGAACGAAAACGACACAGCCTCAAGAAATGTCTCGAGCCAGTTTTCTAAAACTTCAACAAAACGCTGGTCATCTGAACTGAGGGAATGATGCAAAACACCATAATTACTCATCTTCTTCTACGCACGACTGTTATGCCCAAGAACCAGTTGCCATCAATAACTTCGTTGGTACGGAGGTTGAATTGAACTGATTCTTTGGTATGAATATCAACACCGCCAGTGTGTCTAGAACGCGATAAACAAGCAGCTACATTATATCCTGGAATACTATACTGATCAAATGCTTCAATTTCTACAATGTGAGTTTCTACTAATAGACAGGACCGATAATCGAACCCAGGCGCATCCAACAAGATCGTGCATTATTACTGCGCCTTTACCGACTGAGCTAATATTCTATAAATTCTATTCCACGAATTGACTCACTTTTTACTACTTGAAATTCAGTTACATACTATTACCCACAACACGACCATACTCACTGCCGGTGGAAGTAGAACGTGACATCGTCATTGCAATTGTTCCAAAAATTCTTCCCATCCGTAGAGGTATCGTTCGGTGTCGTCAAATCCACCACGTGCGGTACACCCTGATCATCCGGCAGGAACATCCACGTCACTCCGTAGTTCGGATCTATGCTCTTCAGCTGCTCCATGTTACATTTCACTACGAAGAAGGCAAACAGAAATCCATATTAGTTTCGCACACTTTTCACCTACAAAACGTTTAAATTTATTCCCACAGTCGAACACAGTCCTCATGATCACATGCTGGCACATAAACGGGATCAAGAAATCGAACATGGTAGTCTTCTATAGGAAATCCTCGCGTGCGTCCGTCCGAACGACTAAACATTTTGCGTGGCCACAGCTTACTGCAGTGAACTTGAAGCGCGGTAATAACTTTCCATCCGAAGGCCGAAGTAAATGGTTCGCCACCGATTGATGGCGGTCGTTTAGTTCTCTAGCCATCAGATAGATCACCATTTAGTATAATGGGAATGGAAGCACATATTGGAGTTTAGAATGACGACCATTAAATGGACGCGCGGACATAATAGACGCGGATTGTTTTGACTTTACGCGCACACATGAAAGTGCTACTCATTACGGACGCTACGGACGCGGTTTGAGTGATGCGCACCGAGATCGCTTATGACGATCGATAGATGTTCAAGGTTGAGCGACGAATTTAGTGTACCAGCGGCGTACGCAAGGATGCATACTAAGTGCCAATGCCAAAAATTATGGTTGGCTATTCCCACCTGAGCTTGAGAACAGTAACAAAAGAACTACAGCGGCTGGAAAGGCTCCAAATGGTTTCATTCTAGCGAATGGTTAACCGGTGAATTTGGAAAACAAACTAAACCTTTACGACCGTTTTTTCATCGTTTTTAAATGGTTAGTTTTCGGAATGCAATCAATGCATAAAAAAAATGAGGGAGCTCTTATCAATTTCCCACGTGGTGAAAAAAATGACTGTTGAGCTGCAACCAAGAACGAAACCGGTTCTTCTGCGTGTACAATGTGGTTTCTTGGGGAAAATTCAAATTGAACGATGAAGCATAATTCATCATTGCCGCTGTGTTGGTGGCAATCATTTGGAATGCATTACATTAAATTTGCCATGCAGTATTTTTGTGCACCATGCTGCTGAAAATAGATGTTTTTGGAAGTAGTTGTAATGTTCCGTTCACTTAACAACTGTTCATCGGAAGTCTCGTGATTACAAACTAGTTTTACTTTCTTTTAGGAAAATTAGAGGTGCGTGTAGCTGTCAAGTTTCAAGTCATGTTTTCCTGTATTAAAATACCATTAGTTGATTGGAAATGGTTCCTTAGTTATCTATAAATTCAAATGTTTATTAACGTGATGTGTGGAGGTTGGAAAAAACTGCACACTACCCCGAGTAATATTGTTTTTTTTTTTCAATTCGATATGAACTCAAATACCAACAATATTCCAACGCTGACAGCTGTTATGGGCTGTTCATTAACTACGTAGACAGTTTTTTGGGATTATTAACCCCCCTCCCTATGCGTAGACAGTTTTCCATACAATTTTTTTTAAATTTGTATGTGCCGTGGATAATTGTCAACCCCTCCCCCCCCTAAACTGTCTACGTAGTTTATGAACAGCCCCCTATAAACACTTAGAAATAACTAATTTTACACGTGACGGAATCCGTCTTTGACATAAAAGATGAGACTTAAACAAACATGTCATCTAAAATTAAGTGCTCCGAGACTGAAAAGTTCGTTGCTCGACTAAAAGTACGTTTGATTGTGCTGAACTTCACGTCTATTATGATTTTTTTTGATTTTTTTTTAAGTGTGTAGTTACAACAAATACTGTACAAATTCAATCATAAACCTCAAAAGGTTGGAACAAGTGTCATTTTATGATCAAATCAACTGCTCTGCGCACGTCACTGAAACGAAAGCTGGTTTAGTGGGTGATTGCGTTTTTTGTTGCAGTGCACCCTCGGTATGATGCTACTTGCTGAAGTCGTTAATCATGATACAAGTTGACATTAAGTGCAATTAATGCATTTATTTGATAACAAGTAAACTACTCAACACCTCTGGTGCATACGATGCATCGGTAAGGGAATTTCTTTCATGAGTTGGTAATCTTTTCAATTTTTAACCAGTTTATTTCAACAATTTAAAAACGCTTCTAATGAGGATTGTACATTGGCACCGTGTACCGTTCCATCACACTGGCTTCTTTCAGTTGAAGTCGCCTTCTCAAGTCATTCAGTCCTGAATTTTGATTGATGTTGTTACTCATTACAACGTGCTTCCGAAGATTCATTGCAGCACTTTCTTCGGTGGTATCCTCGTAAATGTCTTTATCCTGTTCCAAAATTTTCTTAATATAATCTTTGGTAAGTTTATTCGTGCCAATGTGATTAAAGTACGGCCAGTCGTCTCCATTCGGATCCTGAGAATACGGTGTGGGGAAGTGTTCCACATTGTTGAAATTTCCTTCCAATTTACCCCATTGATCGATATCACTGGTGAATGGATCTCGTTTGAGAGCAAATTTGTTATTTGTCTTAAGCAAACCAGTGGCATCGGTCCACCGACCAATTGCAAATGGCGAATCAGAATTCGTTGTAATCATAAACATTCCTTCGGTTCCTGGAACGCAATCTTCGCCGGCCATAACCTGGTAGTTGTTGTGCGGACAGAATCCTAGCAAGTAGTAGATGTAGCTTTCACATTTCCAGCCCCAGAAACCGGTGAGACTTCGGATCGATTCCGAAAAGTAATCTGGTGCCCTGTGGTGACTGCAAGCCATTGGATCTGTAATGGTTAAATAGCAATCAATTGAAGGTTCCAGGGTAACATTCCACTAGTTTTACTTTGCCCTCCTGCCCAGCACCCAGGTTGAATGATTCCTCCATTCATGTAGAAATCCACATGTCCACAGCGTTCGACTTTTCCCTGAACAAGAGCATTCGTGTGAATGACGTCTACGAAATCTGCATCCGACTTATCGAGCTTATCATCATTGTCGGCAGTGATAAACAAAGGCATCGCTGGATCAAGCCCACTTATCCGTTTCAGTTTGAACGGTCGCAGTTTTACGGCTGCATAGTTGGTCACTTGGGCACCCAATGAAAACCCAACTAAGTGGATGTTGTCCGTTCCGGTGTCCAGCATCCGTTGAACTAACTGTCCAATACAGGTCCCAACGTGTTTGGTGTTATGTACTGCCGAAGGATAGCATGGACCGGGACCAAGTACGCTCCAATCTACGTAGAATAGGTTAAAGCTACCTCGGTTGAGATATTCTGAAAATATTGCACTGTTACCATGATTGACAAAATAACATTTAATTCAACCACACTAACCTCCTTTCATACTAATCAGCGGTGCGAGAAACATGTCCGCATTGTACCCATGGATGATTACCTTCGTCGGTAGCGATGGGTTGAAGTAGGACGAGCTGAGATTCGATTTTTCCAACGTTTCATCGATGTGAACGTACTGTCGATCGTCCGGATTAGAGCGCGTGAACAGATAGAACTTAATGTCTTCATCGGGGCACGGTCGTTCGATTACCCACGTGCAGGCGCCAACGGTGAAATCGCTTCGCGGCTGCCGTATTGTAACCGGTATGGCATAGGTAACGCGGACGACGTTCGCTACTTGTAACGCAGCTGAATGAGAAGGAAAAGAAATACGTGTTAGCGTTTATTTCGCCAAAATGTAGACTCTTGTTTTGGCATAAGTAGTTGGGAGTTGTTTTTTCAACACTGTCGCTCGCATGATTTTGTACCGTTAATTTTCAAATTTTAGATGATTCAGATTTTAATTTTCGAAAGGTTTAATTTATTAATTTTTCAATTGGTTCTATTGGTTCAATTGGTGCAATTGTTTGTATTTCAAAATGGTATTATTTGCCTTTCAGCTAAATTCATTTTTGTTTGTTTTCTACCTACCTAACAATTATTTCCGTCACTAAGAGACGAACAAGTCTACGGTTTTGAAAGTCTCTTTAATAAAAACATATTTACCGTCATTCTTTGTTCAACAAGAGAGTGTCAATCACCAAAAATAGGAAGGACACTCCAAACCCGGACCCTAATGGTTCAGTTTCCAATTAGGTCAATCTTCGATTGGTTAAAGTTTCAATTTCCAATTTTCAATAGATGAATAATTAAGTGGTCCAATGTGTCCTATTTTAAATTGCTTGAATTTGGCTTTTTGCGTTTTAGAATACATATACAAAACTCAACTGAAAATCCATTGTGAATGTATTGAAATGTTTGTAAACATTAGAGATATCTAGCAGCATTTCAAGAAGTTATTGTCCGATGATCAGGGTATCAAGACACAGATAGCAAGCAACAATATAGACGAAACATAGCTTTATCGGAACGGTAAATCAATGGGGAATTACTAGTTATGTCATTCCACCGTTTCGATTGTTGCTTACAAATTTTCAAACGATTTTACCATTGTTGCATGCCGTTACTGATCACCCATTACGCTCGTACATTTCATATCATTTTGTCATGATTAAGACATTTTTGATTCCCTGCCGATAGCCAGAATTAAATTTTTTGTGAAAATATCTTTGATACAAGTGGATTATTGTGACACTAACAAAACACCACATCACACGACTTAAAACTTAAAACTGATTAATAACCATAATTTAGTCAAGCAAAACTTTCGAACTTTGCACAGACACCTCAGATACCGTGGTGGCTGCCTTTGTCCACATTTGTTGGAAGTGTTTGATATCTTTGATTCCTTGTTTCTTTCCAGAAAGCTTCCGCTTCATCAGAGCTCAATATCTCTCGATTGGACGTAACTCTGGACAATTAGGCGGATTTGTGGTTTTTGGTACAATATTCACTTGATTTGCTTCGTACTAATCCATCACAGTTTAAGCATAATGGCATGATGCTAAATCGGGCCAGAACAAAGGGAGTTCTTTGTGGCTTTTGATGAAGGGTTGCAATCGCTTTTGCAGGCACTCTTTCTGTTAAATCTCCTTGTTTATTGTGCCTGTAGTGACGAAAGATTCACTCTTTCGGCCACACGTGTAAATTGCTTGCCAAATAAGGTATTTTTTGTGAAATTTCGATGCCTTCTTCGTCCTGACATACTCAGCTGAAGCATTTTTGGCAATAGCATCCCTGGAAGCTGCTTGAAATCCTCCAGAACATAAGTTTCATCGTCAATAGCAATGCATGAAAACTTCGTCAAATATTCGCAGTACAAACGTCGAGCCCATGATTTTGCTGCCTGATTCTGTTTGTCGTTGCGATTTGGACCTGTTTTTACTTTAGCGATTTGGACCTGTTTCGACTTCAACCCCAAACGCTGTTTTGAGTTTTGGACAAAAACGGGTGAAATTCCTATTTTACGAGCCACCGGTCGAACAGGGATATTCGAATTTTCTTTCAATATCCTCTTCACCTTTCAATCCATGAGAGGATCAGCACGTTAAATGTTTTTTAAAACTTCTCAGTTTCCTCTCGGGCGTCAAACGTTCCGAAAATGATTGGAGCACACCGTGAACAGTGGATTAAGGTAAATTCATTTTTTTGCAAGTTCCCGTATTCAAAATTCAGGATTTGTATTACGTCTGTACAAAATTCACTCACACACGTGTTTTTCATTCGTCTCCATCTTGAACAGTAAACATGGAATGTAAACCACCTATTTTGCATCAAATACTCCCAGCTATACCTCAGCGAAATTTTTAAAAGTTACAGTGATTTGAAGGTGTCCGGATTAATGTGGATACAGACCTTACACAAAAAACTTTCATCAATATATATTAACAGTGAAGTTGAATAATTGATAAGAAACCGATGTATTTCAGAAAACCAATCAACAAATACTTTGAAACTAATGATTATGAAAATTTGATATCCGCTTTATTCATTTCCCGGGATCTCGATATTTCTTAGGGTATCTAATTTGTATTTCCCGAATCGCAAAATGGTGAAAAATGTCTGGGAATTGAAGCTCTATGCAGATTTGTTCATTCAATTAAAATCCATTTAAAAAATTGTTCAGAAAACGAATATTGATTTCGAAAATTTGTAAAAATATGGCTGATACTATGTTGAATATGATCTAAACAGAGCTAAAACTATGAACCTTGATGTTTAAAACAACTTTTATTTTCTCAGTAGGAGACAGCTTCAGCGTACTGGTTAATATCCAGACCTCTCACGCCGTGACGATTTCAAATCTCAACCCGGAGAAGTAACATTTCAGATTTCATCAAGGTTTTAAATCAGTCTACAGAACCCTCATAAAACCAAAATTGTTACTTGAGAGAGTAGCTAAATTCAATATGGCCACAACAATTCTAAATATCGTGGACTCCCGCTAATCTGAACGACACTTCATGCATATTAACGGGGCTCATTTTTAATTCTAGCACTTCTAGTAACTCTGCCAGCATCAGAAAAGCATGTTTCTGGTAGCCTTATTTGTTCCATTTTGCTTTACTCCATTTCATATGCTGTATGACGTTTGAGTAATTTTTGGTTCGCACGGCGTGTAGATTAACGGGTTTCAAGTTAAAAAAATGATCGGATTGAAAACGGTCAGATTACAGGGGTCCATTTAATTCCAAATGAAAGTTCTGACGTTTTCCTTTCGAATAGTATGTAAACATTAGGGGTTTTACATTGATATTATATTGGTATCATATTGATTTAACAACTCATTAGTTAAGTGATACACTATTTATGTAACATTCGCAATATACCTACGACACGGACTGAAAAACTCTTTAATAAAGATAACAAACTAACTAACCATTCGCATTATTTTTTGGAATAGGGAAAATGGCTCTAATGTTGGCCTATGGATCTAAGATTGGGCCCATCGCTAAAAACCTACTATTTATCAATTTTCTCTAGATGTACGCGTAATTGGGACGGTACTAATGGATTGTTTGGTTGCTATTGAAAATTTAGTCGATTGCTGAGTTTACAGTGAGAGGCCGACATTACATCTATTTCCCCTACATTACATTACCAAATAATTCTGAAAAGTTTCATTGAAGAATTGTTTCTTTAAACTACAAAAAGAAAACTGTACCATAATGACAATTTAAAGCAATATTTTTTTTTTGAAATTTAGGCCAGATTTTGCACATCAGAAATGCGCATAAAATATCAAAACGGCCAGGCCTACTGTGCAGCATTTAAGAGGCATGTTTATTCAGAAACTTTGGGCCTATTTAAATCAAAGATTTAATCACGCTGCTTCAGAATCCATTGATTGAATGAAACATGGACATCTCACACCGTACGTTCCGTTGTATTGTTATTTATAAATGAATGGTGGTTGGGAGCATCTAGTCTAAAAAGGTAAAGTGATGCTACACTTTCCTCTAGTGAACGGTACATAAGCACTAACTCTTGGCCTAGCCCTAAATAGCTTATGGTTATAGCGCCATTCCTCACTTTCTGAAAAGATAAGAATAGAAGAAAATGACGTCGGAGAAGGGAAACAAAGGAAGTAGCCCTAGTTCTATCCTCCTTCCCTTGTATAAGAACAGAGAAAAAGTAGTGTTCGTGCAGGGAACTACTACTGCCTCTACCCTTAACATAAAGTAACTACTGTACCTACCCATAGTCCCCGTATCATTGTCATTACTTGTTTTGTAGTTTCCTTGTTATGTTACAATAAATACACGTTTATACTCCTCATACCTCCACCATGGCAGTACGGTCAAATAGTCGTTCTTGCATCAATATTTCATTGTATTACACAACGTAAAAATCGGGTCCTATTCGTGCGCGATCAAGTTGTTCTCTAAATAATCAAGGAAGAGATCGCGAAAACTCACAATGACTCGAGAACGTTTCCTTTTGTGGGCTTCATAAAATCTTACGAAATTTTCCAAAGGTGAATACAAAGTGGAGAAAACTAGATTCCAGTAGAGAGAAATACAACAAGAATACATTATGAATTTAAGTACATACAAATGAAAATAAAGGAAAGATCTTATCCAATTTCTTAATTTTGTACTACTGTTGAACCTAACATTATTCCACGGAGACGAACCTGCCAGGGCTGAAACTCTTCACACTAATCATGATCACAAAAAGTGAACTTTAGAGTACAAAAACATCACTGAAGACAGAAACGAACTCACCAAATGATGGTTAGCCCGTGTTACAAAAACTTGAAAGACTGTTGCATCTCCTAATTCTAGATTAATATTTCACAACATTCCATCGGATATTCGAAGAAACTTTTGCACAATCCGCCTCCAATCAGTATCATCGGGCCAGCCTACCCATCGCCTAATAACAGTTCTGACGAAAAGGATGCTGATGAACAAATACTTTGGAATGCATTTCACCCGATCACTTGAATTTGCTTTGCACTAAAGTGCTTTTCTGGAACTATGTTATCGAGTGGCACATTTTTTCGAGCTAAAACGTGATGAAAAAATCAATTCCATAAACATAATACCGAAAATTGGATACTCGGAAATTGTCCGCGATCGTACAGTAGCAGAGCACCATTCGATTCTCCCTCAATCAGTATCTCTTTAATTCCAGTGATTAAACTATCTACCAGTGGTTCAAAACATAGTAATGCAAAACAATGCTCATAACCACCATAGTAAGCTATCAGGTGAAGAAGCAAATATGAGTCCTTTTCTATTTATTTTAATCACGGACATTATGTTTATTACTGCCGTAGTAACAGGATAACTTAGATAGTTTTTTGAGGTGTATTCAAAATATATTTTAAAATAATTAATGTTTTTAAAATATTTCTCTTAGGATCCTAGAGTCAATTCATTAGTAATATGTTTAACGGAAGTTATTGCATTTGCAATATTGTTTTTGTGTATCTCAAATAATTTACTTAAAGAAATATGATACTTTGAATGAGTATATGATCAGAAACACAATTAGCAATGAGAAGATATCTTTGAATTTCTGACGGCTATATCAGAATATATTTAACAAGTAAATGTTTGAGTGCCTTTTCAATCAGGTTTAAACAAGAAGATATTTGTAAAATATGTAGAACCTACTCTATAAAAACACTGTACCATATCAAAGGTAATACTCTAAGCTACAAAATGGAACTAATGCTTTACGCTACTCTCAAAACATAAAAACTGGATAGATATAGATTATCTTCGCACAATAGATCATTGCACGGAAAGATTTAAACATTTTCGACCTATAAGGTGTTTGAATATGAAACGAAAGAACAAAACATGCATTGTCGTTTTTCTCAGATTGGAAGCGAAGCGGTTTTGAAACTCTTGTAAAATTTGTGCAAGTTGATGTCGTCAGGCTGGAACACATCAATACTGATAATTTTAAGAGCACTAGCTATGATAGCGATGCCACTATAAACAGTTTACATTCAAGTATACATGCTTCCTGAGCTGGCAAATTTGTGTTGGTGTGGCCATCGTGCAATGATCTATTAGTGATTATTTATGTGCTATAACTGTAAGCGTCTAATTTAAAACGGGGTGATTCAGTATAAATAGCGAGTTAGCGAATAAAGCGGGATTTAGAATATTAAAATGGCCCACCAATATGGTTTTTTAAAAGCATCTAAATGGTTCTACAATCGATACATTACAAATGCTAAATCAACCAAAAACATCCTCAACAATTATTTTTATTTGGTATAAATTTAACTTTATTAAAGCGCTGAAAAAACAACATCAAAGCGAAGTTATGCTTCGGATCAATAAAAGATAAAATTGAAAACATTATACTTAACCCACCGATAAAAAATATCAGTCTTCTATATGTGTTAAATCCAACTTTAGCAATCATCTCTTCAACAATGTATATTACTTATCAGCAAAACATTTCGCACATATGCCACCAGTCTACGTATCAGTCGCGGCAATGGTGATAAGACTTTCTTCTATGCAGCACAGTTTCCTCTTCACAACCTCAGTTCACACCATCACCATAGCTGGTATCACATATTATATCACACTATTTTAATTGGGTTCACTATTTCCGGAGATCCGCCGAAATCACTTGCACTGTCCCTAGTGTTCACTTTCCACCAGCACTATAGTACTGCTGGAGATGTCGCATACGCGCTTCGATGCCTAGAATCGCAGTTACTAAACTGAAGTTCGCGTTTCCACTTGGATCGCCATTACCGGTCACCATTTGGCCGCTCTAAAGGCAGGCAGGCAGGCAGCAGAGGGCCAACCATCGTCCATCGTTGCGTGTCGGTCGTTGAAATCAGCGCGAGTCCACTTTCTTCTTCCACGGTTGTGACCAGCTTTTCTGGTACGGCACTAAACGTTTATGCAGTTCAATTGTCTGCTTTCCCTGTTTGGGTCAACATTGGCGCGCACAACGGGCTATCGAACCTGCGAATCAGTGGCGAATTCGCGGAATGTTTAATCGTATCCTTAATTATTCAACTCACACCGCACTCACAGAGCCAATGCGAAAGCCAAATTAGGGTATCGAGGAACGGACACTGGCTGGCACAGCCGATGTTGGGCGACAGGTGTTCGAATGTGAGCTCATAATTTCACCGTTTTGGAGACACTCGAAGAATAGTTCCATTACATTTATTTAGATTTCATTATTTCACTCTTCTATCGATTTGTGGCAGACTTTTTGGTACCACCACATTGTTATCTAACTAGATAAGACATTTAGATGCAAATGACTCAAGCTTCCGTAATTCTAAAATACAAGTCACCATCGGTTCGACTGTCGGAGAATCACAAGCCGGTGTATATAAAATGCAATTTAATTGCTCATATCACTGGCTCTTCACTCTGACGCGTGAGAAAACAACACATCACCGGCGTTGTGGCACTGTATCGCGTGAATATGTAATAACCATTCATACATATAAATAGGAAGATATGAAGCACGTAAATGTTCGAATGGCTAGAAGCTAATGGTCTTGATTAGTTTTTGAGTGGAAAAATAAAATGTTTATGTGAAAAGAAAGTCACCGTGGGGAGCAGATTCACCAGCAGTTTTGCTTTACCCCGATCGATAATACTGGCACTTGTTTGTAAACTTCTCTCCGGTGCGGTATCAGCTGTGAAGAGTTGAGTTTCACCCGTTTTGCTGTGGGCGAACTTGCTCGTGGTTGTGTAGCGAGCGTGAGTGAATAAAAGCCGGAGTGCGTTTAGTGAGTGCAAAATTACTTTTATGATCCTGCATTAAATTATCAAACACAATATTATAAAATAGTATAAAATGCCTTGAATAGGTAAACATTAGTCTTAAATCTAAAAAATTACCCGAAAACTATGACTTATTGCAAAGCAAATTTTGGTTCTAACTTCACTCAAATCTATCCAGTATAAATTTGATTACGATTGAATTTTCCTTTTGAAGTTATGTGCACATATTTTTAAACTAGTTGATAATCTCAGCGCAAATATTTCAATATAACTTTTGGAATATGTTTGAATCCAGTTTATCTTAAACAATTACACATATGGTAAAAAAAAAGCACATACGTCCACAGTGGTTGAAAAGTCATATTTAAGATGCATAAGATGTTTGCACCTACACCATAAATTTCAGGTTAATAGTGATTTTGGGAAGATTTTTTTTCTCATTTATTTCATCTAATATTTAAATACATAAAGGTGGTCCTTACTAAATATCAGCTTTTAAAAGATTTCAGATGGGCCGGAAAAATGTTCACCACATGGGAATTAAGACTTATGATACAATCAGAATTCTGAACCGCAAAGCAAGCGTCCTAAACTCATTTCATAAGAAATCGTATGAAAATGTAATGATTACTTTGCATTCGTCAAGAAATACATTGCTCTATTTTTTTTTATTATAGTCATTTTAACACCCTTGGGGCATTCGTGACTTGTCCAGGGGTGAGTTCCAGAACAACATGTGAAAAGGGCATACAAGCTTTTTGTAAACAAACCTTCTTATGCCCTTTTCTCGCCACCCATATGACACCAACGCAAACCTTTAACATCACCGGGTAGGGGACACTTTCCCCTTCCCGATGATATTGCTGGTTTGCGTGGGCGACCCTCGGTTGGTGAGAAAAGGGCCTACAAATGTTTGTTTACAAAAAGCTTGTATGCCCTTTTCACATGTTGTTCTGGAGTTTTGAACTCGGCGTGAGAGGTAAGGATGATAATTACTACGCCAGGGTCGTCCCCAAGTTCTTATATAACTTTAGACGCTATCATCCAACAAGCGTCATTGGACTAGTGCGTTAGGTGCGCGCCTCCGGATCCCATAGTCTTTGATTCGAATCCCGACCGCAACTTTTTTTTTCCAATTGAGCACCATTTTCATAAGATTATGACTAACTTTTATAAAGCATAACATCTCCTGATCACGCCTTCCTTCGAAAGGGAAGTAAAGCCGTTGTTCTCCGGTTCATGAGTTGATGGGTCGATAGGTAGGGTCCAGGCGTGGGAGCTGCCCCCCTGGCGTCGGTAGCATTGGTGACCGACGGAAAACTAATCAAGAAAAAAAAACTATTATACGGGAATCTATTAGTGAACGAAGTCTTTGAAATTTTGCATTGAAGCAGCTTTGCTGAGGAAACCAATTTTCTATTTCTAATGATTCCCGATATTTACTGGTATGTAATAAGTTAATTTGAGAAGACCCCTAAAAGATTAGTTAACTCTTCATATATTTATATTATATATATTGTTTCAAACACATTCAAAACTCTTGATGACGCACAGTTTTGCTAATAAAATCAAGTTGCGATCTCATTTTTTGGAAAGTTACAAACGATTTTCGTTGATAAATACACTCGATTCTGCTTTCACGTGGTTTTTTTTTGTCTGTATTATTGATCGTGTAATCTCAAATTTCATCCAATATTAGTTAAACTTATTAAAAATAAATCAAAGTAAAATAAGGCGACATTGAAATTTCTGTTTCTTTTTCTTCTAGGCGAAAAAAATCGCTTCTGACGTTTTGCTGACTCTCAACTTAGTGTTCTAGATGTACTTCCACAATTATTAATTAGGAGCTTTCTGTGCCAACCAATGCATGAATTTGTATATTGTGTGGTTAGCACAACGATATGCTAAGCCCAGGGGAGCCAAGAAAATTTACAATCCGAAAGATTTCCTCAACCGGCAGGGAATCGTGCCCGCGACTCTGGATTGGTAATACCGTGCATTTACTGACTAGTCTATCGTGGCCTTTACTGTCTTTACTGACTAGGCTTTCAGAAATTTCTGTACTCATCCCAACTGAGGACTAAATCACGTAAAAACAGAATTGGGTTTAAAGTAAAAAAAATAATATCCATTACTTCATACATCCGATTTTTCAATTGTCACTATAAGCTACTTATTGATGTGAAGCCGGTGGCCAAATATTTACATTTTGATTTTTCAAAAATTAACGAAAAATTATCCAAGAAAATCAGTTTTTTCTTTCAGTGATTCTTAAGAATAATAATTTAATAATAAATTAATAATAACCAAAGGTTTTAGTAAAGTAAAGGAGAAAAATCTATTCAAAAAGGAAAAAAATCCCTAAGGCTTGGTAGCCATCATAATGAAGTAATGAAATTGGGTTGTTAGCGGAATGCTTATATAAAACAGCAAAAAAGGTTGTAGTCGAAATACGTATCTGTCATGGATACCAATATTATTTAAGTGGATTTAAATGGAAGAATTGCTTCAAATCTATTGTTCTTCAATTTTTATCGACCATTATGCTGGTCTGGCTCAAATGAGTAACAAAAAGGTCCAGAACGATTAAAATCAGGAAAAACATGCACTTTTTAGCATGAAGATGAAATTCAATCCATTTGGTTTCTTTGGAGAAATTTTAAGATTCAAAAAGTTGCATCTGATGAAGTGGTCGTCCATAAATTATACTCATTGGGACGCCACTTGAAAATTCTATCTTTTATGACTGAAGATTTTCGATATGGGCCTGTTCATAAACTACGTAGATAGTTTTTTTTTATTCTTGCCCCCCCCCCTCCCCCTGCGTAGACAATTGTCCATACAAAATTTTTAAATTTTTTAAACTGTCTACGTAGTTTATGGACAGCCCCTATTGAAATGTTCTAGAAAATTGTAGAGCTCATCGTTTCCATAAACTTTGCTGAAAGCACAAGATTGCTAGCATATAAGGTATCGACCATTAATTATTGTCACACTTTTAGTAGGGGGGGGGGGGTGTTGAATACTGTGACGAGCCATAAAAAATACGGTCCTTACCAATAATGCGACAAAGGGGGGAGTTGAAAATGGGCCGAGTCTGCGTGACATAATTAATGAACCTTCCCTCATTTGTATTGAGATATGAAGCATTCTTAATGGAAGCTGTCTTAAAATCAATTGTTTGGCTTTAACTTTTAAGATTACTACAAAGAAGTTTTCTTAAGGAACACACAAATTTCTAGAAGATAGCAAAACGCTATCTAGTAATCCACAAAAGCTACATGGGTTTATTTCTTCAAAACATGATGTTTTACATAATTTACCGTGATACCGTGATGAGATTTTACATATTTTGATGAAGATTTTGCAAGCAAATTTGTGTCTTCAGCAAAGTTTATGGAAATGATGAGTTCTTCAATTCTGTAGAACATTTCAAAATGTTAGAATTTTCGAGAGGCGTCCCAATGAGTACAATTTATGGACGACCCCATCATCAGATCCGACTTCTTTCAACTAAAAACTTCTGTGAAGACACAATGTCTTCCGTGAGTTCTAGAAGTGCGAAACCGAACTTTTTGTCAGTGCGAACCTCAACCTGAGGTAGGCTTTAAAAACAAACGATCAAACTGACGTTTGTCAGAAAACGATCAGACTCGATCTTGATACCCGATCCAGGTTGGAACTGATTAATAAACAAATTCGCTATTAGTTCCCACATTTCTGGGAGCTACTAAAAGCTGTTGCTGTACTGGAACATCTTGTGGCTTCGATACGCAGTTCGAAATAGAAATTTAACATGTTCCAGCAGTTGTGGAAGTAGGGTAAATGACGGCTTCGGCTGGCAGTGCCGGTTTTCGGCAACCAAAATTGAAACGTTAATCTCACTGGATATTCACATAAACCTTCGCTGGATGTATTCAAACGATTCCTTAGTCTTTCAGCATTAATTTGATTAGATTTCTACAGCTGAGCAAACGTATTTTACCAGGTTTTTCTCAAAATGAAACATACGTATTTTTTAAATGCTTCTGATTATAAAACCACTGTCTAACACGAGGGGGGCGGCACATCTAAATCTCAATTTTAGATGCTCAAAAAATCTCACACACGCGAATCAATCTTCGAAAAATCTTCTTGATCTTCTTGAATAGTCATAAATCTTCTTCCGATCTGCTCAGCGTGTGAGCAGCTAGCCACAGCACAACACAATCTTTCCTGCAGCGTTGATAGAGTCGTCCCTCTCGGTCTAACACACAGTTCAAATGGAAACGTTGCCGAATAAAAACAGGTTCAGTCACTCGTCAGCTGGCAAAATAAATGGAGCGAAGGGAGTTTGGGACGATGGCTTTATTTGGTCATCTCTAAGGTGTCGAAGAGTCCGTGGTTCAAAGGATTGGATGTGGTTCGCCTCATGTACAATCACTATTCGTTAAACGCTCACTTGTTGCTTGTTGTGCTCGGGGACAGCAATATCTGTGAATGTGGACAAGGTTACCAGGACGCAGATCACATTATTTGGTCTTGTGCTGAACACCACCGCCATCTGTTGAGTAACATTGTACGGGACAGTTCGCTCAACAAATCGTGTGTAAAAGTCAAATGTAAGCCAATTGACTTTGCACGCCAAAGTTGACGGTACTACCAACGAAGAAACATTTAAATTGACCGTTAAATGCGCAATCCATTAACAGTACGAGAGTGTTATGTCTGTTTGTCTGTGGTAATGAATTCATAGGTTTTCCTAGGGAATGCCTTTTTTCGAATGGATATCTTGGGTCTAGTAACTTGAGTGTAGGCCCCGTAACGTGGGTAGATCACCTTTTTGGGGTACGTTACGGGATGTAAATGGGGCCTCCCTTAGCTCAGTCGGTAAAGGCGCAGCTACAAAGCAAGACCATGCTGGAGGTGGCTGGGTTCGATTCCCGGTTCGGTCTAGGAATTTTTCGGGTTGGAAAATTTCTCGACTTCCCTGGGCATAGAAGTATGATTGGACTTGCCACACAATCATATCAATGCAAAAATGGTACAGGCATCGAAAGCTCTCAATTAATAACTGTGGAAGTGCATCTAGAACACTAAGTTGAGAGCACGCAATAAGCTAATATGCGATATGCAATAAGCTTGAAATGCGAAGAAGAAGAAGAAGTACGGGATGTAAAATCTATCACCGATTCCTAGTCCACATCTTAGTCCTTGTTACTTTTTATGCCTTATTGATATTGACAAGACTCGGCTTTGTCCACCGAGGATGATTTTGAAACAAGGAAAAACTAGTTAGTTAGTCTTAATCTATGTGATTCCTAATCTTCTATTAGTTGTTCCCTAGTTTGAAGTGATTAAGACTAGGGTTCTGATGCATGGTCATTATCGATGTCATTGTTTAATTTTGTTGCTTAGGAATCCAATTTTAACTGACAAAGGGCGCGCCTTTGGAGGGTGTTTCAACACTCCAAAGGGTTTAAATAGCGGGATCTTTCAATTAGAGTCGGATTCTTGCGATAAATGCAGGAATTAAAACTGTAAAAAAATCGAATATTTCATCATGTCTCAATAGTGATGGAGTAATACGAAATGCACTAAACTAAGGACACGGGATATACTACAATAGATCAAATTACTGGTCGCAGTGGTGTTAGGTCCCGAACAGAGGAAAGAAAAACCTGTACAAATAATACTCATGTTAAGCTTGTCATACATGTGCATTGACCGCATTACTTCTAGTGTTTCCGATAAAATTAGCTGTAGCCATATGTTCCGTCGAGCGGTGACCAGGCCCTACGTTGTGTTTTAATGTCTTTCCGGATCCACGCACGTTTCAAAAACCAACTGAATTTTTGATTTCTTCCACTCGGATTCTTCGTTGAAGAAACTCGATGAGGCAGTTGTAGTTCGGGTCTTCGATAGTCGAAGCATAGTCTTCCCAGGCCTTGAGAGAATCATCGTGCAACCGTGTGCATAGTAGATGTTCCAGAATCGCACTCCAGCTGTCAGTAGGCTCCCCTAGCTGGTGCAGGATTTTAGTATGAGATGTTCAAACAAATTAATAGGAAGATGACCTGTGTTTATTTAGTTACACTAAAACTGATATCTAGTAAAAGTGAGGGGGTGACGGGCCTACGCGCTCTTCCCATCTTCCTATTAATTTGTTTGAACATCTCAAGACACATTCTAACTCGGAAAACGCCTAAATGTATGTATCACCTAATTAATCAACGCTGATCAACCAATGATTTTTTGTAATTTTCGATAACTTCTAGCGATTGGATCTGCTTAAAACGTTTCAGAAATTAAGTTTAATTATTACTTTAACTAACTCTTTGGTTATTTTGGTGCTACAAGAATTGTTGACATGCTTAGTAATGTTTCGAAAATGACCAATTTCCCATACATTTTTTTATGTGTCTTTATATTTATTTCCGAAGGAGAAAATCACATTTCCATTTATTTCCCCTGCGTACATGATGCAATTGGTTATTTCTATGGGTGATATTGTAGCATGATAATGTGGCTTCCAAAAATACATGGTTTAGAATTCCTCTGATTCTTATATTTGGTAGGCGCCATGCTTTTTTATGTGTCTTTATATTTATTTCCGGGAGTGTATTGGTATAAAAAAAATATCCTGCAAGTGTTCAATCGTTATGGCCATTTTTTTTGCTTCTTGTGAACTGACCTAGCCAGGTGAAGGGAAATTTTGCAGTAGATTTTGATTGATTGAAATTTACAGTTTTACATTAATTTGCAACTTGTACTCACTTAGAAATAACTACTTTTTCGCGAGATGTAATATATATTGGACTTAAATCATGGAACGTAAATAAACATTTCATGTAAAATTTAGTGTTCTCAAACCGAAACATAAGCAACTTGACGAAGAGAACGTTTGATTGAATTGATTTTCTCGTTTCATTCAACTGATTCTTATGTCGAAAGGGTCGCTTACATGTGTCGGTCTCAGCGAACCAAAATTTACATGGGTTTTTCGTAGTTTCGTCCTTATTAAAACACATTTCTTTGTCTGACAAGCCTCTTTAGAAAGTGGCCAGCAATCGCAAAGTCACTGAAAACCTCGTCATGCGGTTTAAGCTTCCACTACCTCGATTACATATAGATGAGGACATTTCAGTTGTAGATATCATAATCTGCCGTTCTGGTGGTTCTTTCCAAATTAAAGTCATGGCATGCATCACAAACTTCATGGAACACAAATTACGGCACTGGTTCAATTTATTTTACATGTTCATCACTTATTTTACATTGGTAACTCACTCGTTCAATGTTTTGCATTGGTAACTTCCTCTTCTACAACACTAGCTCACTTCGCTGAGCATATTTAATTAGTAATTCATCTTTCTAGATATCTATCTGATTAACGATTCTATCACCATCATCTACCGACAACGGTTGACTTCAATTCCAATTATATATGTATATAATTATAGAAGTGCGCTTAAATATGCACGCGCTGTCACTGTATGTCATACGTAATTGGCGCATGCGTTTTCTCAGCTTATTTACATTTGCATTGCCTAGTTCCAAAACTAGCCATATTGATCACCTTATGGAAGCTGCAGTCAGAAGATTACCCGGTTGGTCGGTCGCTCAAAATCAGATCCGGCTGATTCGTGTGGCAGTTGTGAAACTATGCGCTGTTCAGTCTTCTCAATATCCCATGGCATGCGGTGGCTTCTTGTTGGTCGGTACGAAGTATACTCCTTCAGCGCTGGTAAACGACACACAAAACAGAGGGTGTATAATGATTGTAAATGTTTTGTTTGAGAAAATAAGCTCGGCTGGAGCATATAAATTGGCAGTGAAATTTGGCTGCGATCGCAAAAGAATGCTACATATAGTGAGGGATGGAAAGTCAAGTGTAAGGGGACGCATCGAAATTAAACCGTTCATTGATCGATGAAGGATTCTACTCACGTATGCGAACAGTGCTCGCCCATCAATATTCGATTGCTATCGATCAAGCTGTTGTCGTTGATTTCCTGGCTTCGACCGTCGTCGAACCACGACGATTGTTGTTGCTGATCAGCTTTGTACCGGCAGAAGCCGAAAAAGTAGGAGAAATAGCTGGTGCACTTGGTTGCCCAGAAGCCAATTTTGCTGGAGATCGATTCGGCAAAAAAGGCGGGGGCCATCATGTGGCTACACAGTGGCTGATCTACATTCGATCGATCCGGTGTTCGTGTGGCCCATCATGATTCGATCGGTCGGGTGGGTGGTGATTGTGAAAGCAAGAAAAGCATGGAAGAAACATGTTTAGCGAAAAATAACAATCAAGGTGTGCATGCATCATAACCCTTACAATCGATTGACCATAATAATATTGCAAGTTACTGACTTTGGGATCTTAATTGGATGTGTGGATGTAGAACAAAGCTCGGTGGTTAGATTATCGTCATGGTTCTTGATCTCTGCTCTCAAGGTTATAATCAAGCAATTCGGTTTGCAAATGAAAGTCACTTCATTGGAGTTGAAATTATGTTCTGGTGGTTAAAGTTTGTATATTACACTATATAGCACTGAGCTTCATTAGCGTACGGCAGATCGTTCATACATAAATCATACTAAAAATTTGTCTTAGCATTTGAATTTAATTTCAACATTAGTTAACAATATGCTTTGCAATGCTATTAAATAGACAACTAGGTACTGTGTTATCTGACTCATAAAGAGTATGCGGGATCGACCGTCAATTTAACGTTGCTTTATCTAATTTATCATGGTTTCATCAATTGGATTTCCTATTGATTTGCTGTTTTATAACCCACTATTTTTTTTAATTGTACTTATCTTCAATATCGAGTTGAGAATTTTGATTGTAATAAGATATCATATCAACCAATTTAGAAAGAATATAATTAGAAAAATAGAGATGTCACGAACCACGTGAGTCCGCTTCACAAATCACTGTTCTAACCCCCGGTACTCACTCGAAACATTCTCGCACATCGGTTGGTTTTGGCCCCCGTTCATGTAGAAATCCACGTGGCCGCAGGTCTCAATCTTGCCGTACACGCCGGCATTCGTGTGTATCACATCGACAAAATCAGCATCGGTGAGATCCAGTTTCCACTGTTGGCGGGCGGTTGCAAAGAAGGGAAGCGCCGGATCGAGACCTGAATTGAGAACGCATGCTGTTAGAACTAGGTAGGTATTCATTAGATTCTCAATCGTGGTGTGCGTGGTAATCTATAAAACCTAATGATGTTGATACCAATCAACAATGTTTTACGACCTCACCGTTCACCGGATTATAAAGTGGAAAAAAAATGTGAATAAATTATGATGGTGAGTTTTTAGTAACCCGCAGATTTCCGCCAATCGATGGCTGCTGCTAGTGGCTGTTGTTGTTGCCGCTGGTGATGATGCTGCTGCTGTACTTTGTTGATAATTACACTTGTTAGTAAAGCGGTTCAACTTGAACTTGGCTTTCATATCGAGTCGTTTTCGTAGGTACGCACAACCTCAAGAGGTATTTCAATCACTAAAGGTTAAAAAGAATCCGGTAGTGAATGTATGATGCCACGTAAGGATTATGCTTATTGCAATCTGTTTTATGAGTGCTATTGCCTCTGCTTTGATTAGTAGGTATAGTTAACAAGAGTGTCGATTTGTGTCAATTTGATTGAGGGGTGAGAAAATATCAAGGTTAATGTGTGTCATGAGCATGATTATAAATAATTAGTAAAGTGCGGCCGACTAATACCAACAAACCAATCCCACCAAGGTGATCATTCTCTTAAACAGACCTGATAGAACTAGGAACTGTAATTAATAATAATTGAAATTTCAAAGGAACTAAAGTTGAAAAGACGCATCTGTGTCACTTGATAAGTAATACATGTAAACCACACACATTCAAGAAATAATGATCATTTAAAGTCAAAGGCCGACTAATACCCTAGTCAGGAACAGAGCGGATTACATGAGGTTAGATTTTGGTCTGTTCAAGAATTTGTTTGGGTTGATAAATTTCTCATCGCTCCTGGGCACAATGGTACTGAGTTGCCATAAAATACTGCCCATGAAAGCATCACTGTCCAATATGAATAGGAAATCAAGCACAGATGGCAATATATGAATGCGAAAATGGTTCAGCAGTTAGACTCAATTATCAACTGAGGAAGTACTCAAAGTTGAGGGAAGGCGTAATATGATTTGAGTCAGTGTATGGGGAAAGTGGCAACAGTTTGGACACCTTAAGAAAATCATCACTAATGTGGTGTAAATTCAGTGAAAAATTCTAATGATTTCGAACCAAATGGAAAGTTTTAAGCCCTATTCACATCATGAATACAAATTTAATATTAAAAGTAAACTTTTGAATCTTATGAAAGAAGATTAAAAAAAAAATCGTTTTGTATCCGAAAGAAAACCGTTGGTGTAAAATGAGCACCCTATCGAGGTGGTATAAGCGCCGTTGTAAACAACCGGTAAGAATATTTTGTTCTCTTGAGGCTTTATGAAGGGTCAACAATGATCAGTTTTTGCATAAGAAGATTTAAAAGAAACAATTTTCGTGTCACTTTTCAATAGGTTCTATCTACACTGATCGGTTCTCTTAATCGATTCTCGTTTAATAACTTGGTTGGATCGATACTTTGGTCTAATTTTTCTACATAATCTGTTAAAAGAAAATTGTAGTTGGTCTATTTGAAAAGTGACGCGAGAATTACTTTCTGTATGATACATTAAATTTAAGAAGTACTGCCTATTTATGGTTATTTTTTTCAATCATCTAATGACTGATTTTTTACCTAAACAGCTGCTTCAAAACGTGATTTCATACAATACAGTCATTTTTTAAAAGGAATAATGCAAAATGGTGCTCATAGTGACCCGAATAAAAATAAGTAATATTTTGTTTGCAAAACATCGCGCTATGTAAGAAACCAACGATCATTTATATACAGTATCCGATTGTGGCTACAAAACAACAAAAAAGTTCGTTTTTGGCACAGTGACATCGAACGCATTTTGAAAATAAAGTATTTTTGCTCCTTGTGATTACAATGTTTAATAAAATATCATCAATTGTCTATTGACGTCTTTCTTCTTCTTCTTTTTCGCATTTCAAGCTTATTGCTACTCGCATATTTGCTTATTGCGTGCGCTCAACTTAGTGTTCTAGATAATTGTGTGGTATGCCCAGAAAAGTCAAGAAATTCTCCATTCCGAAAAATACCGGACCGGGAATATAACCCAGTCACCTTGGTTTATAGCTGCGCCTTTACCGAATGAGCTAAGGGCCCGTAACGTGGGTAGATCACCTTTTCGTGGTACGTTACCACTGATTCCTAGTCCCGACTACTTCAAACTAGGAGAACAGGATTTTTCAGTAATCAAAGGAACACATCTTAGTCCTTGTTACTTTTTATGCCTTGTTGATATTGACAAGACTCGGCCCACCGAGGATGATTTTGAAACAAGGAAAAACTAGTTAGTTAGTTTTCATCTATGTGGTTCCTAATCTTCTATTCGTTGTTCTCTAGTTTGAAGTGATTAAGACTAGGGTTCTGATGCATGGTCATTATCGGTGTCATTGTTTAATTTTGTTGCTTAGGAATCCAATTTTAACTGACAAAGGGGCGCGCCTTTGTAGGGTGTTTCAACACTTCGAAGGGTTTAAATAGCGGGACCTTTCAATTAGAGTCGGATCCTTGCGATAAATGCAGGAATTAAAACTGTAAAAAATCGAATATTTTATCATTTCTCAATAGTGATGGAGTAATACGACATGCACTAAACTAAGGACACGGGATATACTACAATAGATCAAATTACTGGTCGCAGTGGTGTTAGGTCCCGAACAGAGGAAAAACAAAAAAAAGGGAGGCCGTCTATATCATAAAGATAACTCACGGTGGTCAAAAATCAACGAAATCAAACATTAAATTTTAAAGCAAAACCGTTCGATTTTGGCAACACTAATTATATGTAAGAAACTACATGTAGACCTTATTTTCTTATTCAGAAAACTCAAAACATTTTTGACATTTTGAGCTAGTCTAACATTTTTCGAATATTCGCACTAGAGGAAAAAGATTTTCTAGACTAAAATGAAATAGATAGTTCCAGTAGGCTTCAAACATTAAGCCTGCAACAGATCCTTTAGTATAATATGTTCAAAAATTGCCCCACTTTCCCTATACATTGGAAAAGCATATGATTGTGTTTGTGTGGTATTAATAAACAAGGTTAATAAAAGCAGTATACAATGTGAAAGCCACTCAGTGATTACAAACGGGTTAACAAGTTGTGTGAGGTCATTACCAGGGACGTAGTGAGAGGGTTGCGATAATGGCTCCTGCAAGTGACATGACCAATGGGCGAATTCAAAGAGGTTTTCGTTTAATCAATGGACGTAATTCCAAAAGCACTATGCAGAGAACTCCTACTGTGTTAATTTTTGCGTTAAAATGTGACTCATAACTAATTTACGTTGTGTCCGTGAGCCTCGTATACAACGTTTAGGTACTTTGTCTTTTTTAACATATCATAATTAATGTTAAATTAGACGAGTTCATGTAGTAGTAGTAGTAGTAGTAGTAGTAGTAGTAGTAGTAGTAGTAGTAGTAGTAGTAGTAGTAGTAGTAGTAGTAGTAGTAGTAGTAGTAGTAGTAGTAGTAGTAGTAGTAGTAGTAGTAGTAGTAGTAGTAGTAGTAGTAGTAGTAGTAGTAGTAGTAGTAGTAGTAGTAGTAGTAGTAGTAGTAGTAGTAGTAGTAGTAGTAGTAGTAGTAGTAGTAGTAGTAGTAGTAGTAGTAGTAGTAGTAGTAGTAGTAGTAGTAGTAGTAGTAGTAGTAGTAGTAGTAGTAGTAGTAGTAGTAATAATTTAAATGGCTCATTTTCTCTACTACTGCCACACAAACAAGGTTGCCAACAGATTTTCAAAAATTACTTGCAAAATTCACCCAAAAAACTGGAAGAAAACTGGATCCTCATAAAAATTAAATATTATGGCAAACATGCAAATTTCTGAGCTTGTGTGTGAGAAAAAGATCAAGGGCAATCTGCTTTCAAGGTAGTTCTGAGGAATTCCTGATTTTATGTGAAACCTAAGGAGAATTCCAAGTTAGTTCTGATTAGAATTCCATGGAAATTATTAATAGGATTCAAAGGAAGCTTTAAAGAACAATCATAGGAAATACCGAGGTTAATTGCTGAGGAGTTTTTAAAAATTTGGAAAAGAATTCTTAGGCTTATTTCACGATAATACTGAGGAGAACTTCAAGGCAATTCAAAAGAAGAAATCCATGGGAATTCTGAGGAAAGTTTCAAGGCGTGTCTTAGTGCATAATTCCATGGGAATTTCCGGAGAATATTTAGGAGGAATGACTAAAAGCAGAATTACAGTTGAATCTTAAAATAATTCCAAGAGAACTTCAAAGGAATATCAAGAGAGTTTTGACTTGAATGCCAAACAAATATTGAGCAAAAATCTTTAAAATAAATTATGAGAAGAGCTTCAAGTGAATTCTCAAGAGAAATTCTAAGGGAATTCCAAAGTGAATTCAACGAAAATTCTAAAATAATTCCAAAGCATTTCTTAGGAGTATTTTAAAAGAATTCTAATGAAACGAATTACGAATTCCGAGGACAGTTCCAACACAATTTTGATGATAATTTCACAAGCAATTCCGAGGAGTATTCCAATGATATTCCAAAGATAAATTTTAGAAAATTCAAAAGAGACTTCCATCCAAACTATGAAGAGCATTTAAAGAATAATTGGGAATTCTAAGCAGAACTAAAAAGGAATTGCTATAGTTATTCCATGGGAATTTCAGGAGAAAATTAAGTTAATGCTAAGGAGAACTTCAAGTGATTTTTTCAGGAGTATTGCAGGAATCATTAATAATATGAAACATTAATAATAAAAGCATTGCAGAATTTATTTGAAGAGTGTTCTACAAATAATTTTCAAGAGTATTATGAATCAAATAATGAGGGAAGTCGTTTTTTCCATAATAAAATTCACGATCACACAGAAAAATAAACCCAAATTCATGATTTTGAAAATAAAAATGAAATTCTGAGACTTCGATTTATTTTAGATTTCATGCTTAGAAAATTGTATGATTTTGCATTAAGGAGAAGCTTCAAGATTCAGGAAGTT